ATAGCATTCCATATCATAACTACACCAACATGTATTTGCTTTGATATTTAAATACCTTCATATTCTTGGAACACATACCAATTGATGGAAGAGAAAGGACCAGAAGCACGTTCAAGTGTAGAGAGAAATTGTACGGGGCAGAGTAAATAGCAGGAGATCATCTACTCAAATAACTCTTAAAAATCATAGCTACTAAAACAGAAAAAGTTCTCAAGAAATCGTCTGACTCTGTTTCCTCACATTTCATCATGAGCTTAGTTTGCCTGAGGCCACAGAGGGCAGTACCTTGGGAGAAAGGACACTGGAGCCCCTTTCAGTGCCCTTCCCAGGCCTGGCCCCGGTAGGTGCTCACTGGTGTTTGAATGGAGGGAGGGAAGGGATGGGCAGCAGGAGACAGAATGTCCACGGCCTCCACTTCCTGGTCCCAGCCGCCTCCTTTCCTAAGGAAAGATGTCAGCAGCCAGCCTGCCAGGAAAAGCACCAGGCAGGGAGACGCACCAGCCTGTGCAGAAAGGGCACATCCTTGGCAGTGCATGGGTGGCTGAAAGTAGAAAGATGAAAATAGAAACCATCACATTGTTGCAGACCCAGCACTAAAGTGAAGCATTTGATACCTCAACTCACATTCTGATTAAGAAATGAAGGAAAGACAGGAGGGAAGGGGGAAAAAAAGAAAACAAATAAAATATTATGGGAGGAATTTGAAGGTTAAAAAAAGAAATGAAATGGGTTAAACACCTTTAGTTGCCTAAAGTAGATTTGTAACTGCTGGGGCGATCAGTGGAGAGGAGCATTTTTAGACTATAGGCAATGCTGTTGTGTTAGTGTCATTTTTTTTTTTTAATTTGAAGTTCTAACATAATTCTTCTGATTCAGAAGATGCCATATTCTGTAAATGAGAATACTAGGGTGCAATCAAAATGCAAGCCACTTTCAGTTCAAGCTGGGTGGGATGAATATGAACTGTTAGTGCCTGTCTAGATGCTTCTCCTCCCTGCTTTTAGGATGGGGTAGGTGGGAGCCCCAGCAAGTGGGAGCCGGTCTGGGGGTATCAGTTAAGGAAGTGTCATCATGCTTAGGGGAATGACACAAATCTGATGCTCCAAACATGCATGATTATAAAAGAGCCAGGGCGATATACTTGTCTGCTGATGTATAGGTAGATTACAATGGATGCAAGGAAGTTTTAAGGAAGTGGTAGAGATTGGGAGCAGAACTGAAGAGAGAGTGGAAGGCGTTCTCACTTTCTAAAACATGTTTTCTTGGTCTCATCAACTTTATGCCACCCTATTGGTTACCAAAACTTTCGACATTAAAAAGACAGTATTTATTGGGCAGAGAAAAAGGTGGCAGGGAACAGGATCCCGGGGAAGAAAGCCCGGGGAAACCACTCTGTCCTGAGGTGGAAGAGAGAAGGACCAGTGACTCCTCTGTGTGGCCTAACTGAGCATGTCCGCTCACAGCCCAGCGGCCCAGCCCAGCCCCTCGCCCTCAGCACCCTCGGGTCCTCATCCTCAAACACTGCTGCCCCCTCGTCATATCCTAGAGCCGCTGGATCCTGGACTCATCCATTCAGATGTCCGACTTCATACCACAACCTCTCCTTTGCTGCATACCGGACACTGTGTTGGACACTGGGTGGGGTGGTGGGGGGGATCAGCCTTTCCAACTGATGCCATAATAAATTCCTTTCTGGGTTCTTCAGTTGGTTCTCTCTCCATTCTGCACAGTGACTGTCGCAGACTCCACTTCACTCAGCAAACTTCAGACCTCAACCTTCTCTCTTAGTAAATGACCATGCTACCTATTTCTCCCCTTTCCCCCACACAAAGGAAAAAAAAGCCCAAAACTTCCGATAAAAACTTCTTGCCTTCAAATCTAGAAAACTATGTGCACCGCTGTCTTTCCTCTCCCCTCCTGATTGGTGGAGGAGCTGCCCTGCTCTGGTTAAGCCTGACTCTCCCACCTCACCCTAGATACCATCCCAGCCTCTTGCACTGCTGATTTTTTCTCACATTGCTTCAACTTCTTTCTCTCCAGAGGCTCATTCTATCAGATTCAACCCACTGCACTCTCTCAAAGACAACACAAGCCTCTGTTAATCTTCCCTGGTCCTCCTGCTCCTGTCTTCCCACCACTGCCAAACCAAGACAGTTGTCTAAAACACATTGGGCCAGGCACAGTGGCTCATGCCTGTGATCCCAACACTTTGGGAGAAAGAGGTGGGAGGATCACTTGAACCTAGGAATTTGAGACCAGCCTGGACAAGATAGCAAGACCCTATCTCTAAAGAAAATAAGAAAAATTAGCTAGGCACGGTGATGCATGCCTGTAGTCCCAGCTACTTGGGAAGCTGAGGCATGAGGATTGCTTGAGCCCAGGAATTGGAGGCTGCAGTGAGCTGTGATCATACCACTGTACTCCGGACTGGACAACACAGTGAGACCCTGTCTCCCAAGAGAGTTGTCCAGTGCAACCTCCATCTCCCCATCTCCCAGTCACCCCCTAACACCCTGCAAACTAGCTCCCACCCTCATAGCATTTTCACCAATGTCAACAGTGACCTTA